GAGCCGCTTTCTATGAGGTTTCCACTAAGTATGTCACGTAGAGACCAACCGCACAGAAATCACGTGGAAGTATAATGTGAGTATAATAGTATAATAAGTATAGTATAATAGTATAATAGTATAATAGTATATAATAATGTGTATAATCTTCGGAGAAAATCATACATTCTTTAAGGTAGTCACTGAAGATTATAACGCTAAGATTGGACCAAGAAGAACGTCGGAAGAACGTAACATTGGCACTCACTGCTTAGGGTAGAACGAACAGGGTGAGCGGCTGTCTGAGTTTATCATGGCGACCAAGATCATCCATGGTAACTCCCAATTCCAGAAGCCCCATCCTGAATGCTGGACTTAGGAGTCTGCCAATGGAGAGCACCATAACGAAATAGACCACATCACAGCAAATAGAACGTTTTGCTTAACCGATGTCATTGATGTCCCAAAAATCTACACGGGATCAGATAGTCGTCTCCCTCGTGTAAGATTCTATTTCTCGCAGAAAGGAGAAAAAGCCGTTGAATTGAAAAACCGAAGTCCCAGAGTCACCGTAAACTGGGATTTATTCAATTCATTAGCCGCTGTTGGGAAGATGTCGTTGTCGATAACATCTACGAAGAATACGATCGGCTCATTCAACATCACGTTAGCGTTATGAAAGCTCAGAGTTCGAAAGTCACTAAGAGACGTCCGTCTCCAGAGACATTCGAGCTGATACGCCAGTGTGGAATCGCACGAGCTGCAGGAAACCACGAACTAACGTCCAAAGTTGCAAAACAGTGCAGAGAGGCGATAAAAGAAGATCTTAAAGAGAGAAGAGCAGCAGTAATGGTCGAAGCTGCAGAGGTTGGAAAAAGCATTTACAAAGCCCACCGAAGCTACGCCAATTACATGACCAAGATGATTGCACTCCGACGCCCAGACGGAACAGTTACAGCGTCAAGAAAGGCAATGGAGAAAACCATTCACGAATACTACTCAGATCTCTTTGATAGCCATGTCCACCCTCCGTCATATGAAATAAAGGAGGGTGGATATGTTGTACCAACGGTCTTTCCATTTGAAATCAGACATTCCTTCCGCCGGTGAAAAACTGAACAGCACCAGGTCTGGACAGAATAAGACAAGAACACCTGAAAAACTTTCCGCCACTCCTTATAAACACACTGGCTCGGCTCTTCACACATTAACTGACTGAATGCAAGGTCCCTACTCAGTGAAGGACCAACAAGACCGTGTAAGGGTGACCTATGCGATATCGGCAACTATCGCCGAATCTGCTTGCTGTCTGTCGTCTACAAACTTTTCACAGGAGTCGTCCTAAACAGGTTTGACAGAACATTGGACGAAGGACAGCCATGTGAGCAAGCAGGGTTTCGAAAGGGATTTAGTATGACGGACCACATCCACGCTATAACAAGACTCATTGAAGCATCGCGAGAGTACAAAAGACCGCTCTGTCTCACTTTCATCGATTTGCTGAAGGCCATTGATTTAATTGAGATAGAAACAACCATAGAAGCTCTTAGTAGTCAAGGAGTCCCTACTCAATATATAAAGATTCTTCGTGAGCTGTACAAAAATTTGATAACCAAGATATCACCATTCTACAGCGATATTAACATTGACGTCAAAAGATGGATAAGGCAAGGCGATACCATCTCGCTCATCGATGGTCGGCAGTTCCACCTTCTTAACGTATGCGTCAGAAACCTGGTCGCTGCGTAAGCATGATTAAAGATCACTCAGCGGTATCGAGAGCGCAGTCGAAATGACGATGCTAGGAGTATTCTGTGTTACACAATTAAGGGAATCGAACAAAAGCTCCGACTTCCATCAACGATCAAGGATCAAAGACGCCGTTCTGCACGCCAAACAATCGAAGATAAGGTGAGCCGGACAGGTAATGCGTATGAATGACAATCGATGGACAGGAGCCGTTAGTGACTGGATTCCTCGGGATGTCAAACGTACTGCAGGAAGATCGCCAACCCGATGGCCAGTGTTCTTCACAAAGAGCCTTGAAAAAAGATACGATGCTCGGTGGATCTCTAGAGCGAGCAGAACCCACTGGGCAACTCTTAAACGCGACAGGGAAAAGCGGAGGACTTACTGGTGCGCGTTCGAGTCACTCGACGATCAGTGGGACTACAGGTGATACAGATGATAGAGGTGTTCTCTATAGTGAATCCGCAAAAGTCCGTTCTCTAAAATTTTGGAACACTATTGATTGATACCGATTAACAGATTGCCAAAGAAGAAAGTCATAAAACGAAAAATGAAAATTGCTAGAAAAAAAGAAGGAAGGGAACAAAGGAGTACGCTTGTTTAACAAAAGTTCGTCAGATTGGCCTTTTGTAGTAAGGATGTCGCTTTTCTGCAAAAAATACACCAGCTGGATAAGAAACAAACAAATAAAATGCAAGAAAGGATTTTTCAAGTCTTTTGTATAGGTAGGTAAACCAGTAAGATACTTACTGCGCTTTCGTTTGAGGATTCAGTTGCTCCGTCCTGTTTAGTCCTCTGTTGTAAGCATAGTTATGTTCGATTGCTGTTGGTACCCACCATGTTAACGTACCAACCACAAACACAATCGCTGTATAGCCGAATGTGGAGAAAATGTAAGTCGGGCTAAAATGATCATAGTCTCTTTCACTGTTGTTTCAAAATTAATTTTGTTATACTCTGGACTATCTTTTCAAATTAATCATTTCACATTGAAAGCAAGAGAAAAAAACTACGACAGTGGGAACGTTTCCTTGAGGTATGTTGCCCAGAAACCCTAGTAGGATCTTCCATCGTGCCAAAATTATTTCACTCTTACGTAATCATTGAAGTTTGTAAATCTTAGAAGTAATTTAAGAAACGTCATTGAAAGCACCACTTTTTATCCTGCCGGGTTCCGCCCGCTTTCCTCTTAACTGTAAAAGGCACATTCTTGTGTTGCTTATGATACCATTGTAAGAGATACTTTTAGGCCTTTTTTATTCCACCGTATGCAGTGAATAAGAGTCAACTCATGTCGACCACGGTGTTCCGTTGGAAGACGAAGCGTTTTTCTCATCTCATTTTTCTCTATTTCCAATGATTTTGATAGAAACTGCCGCATCCTTCACATGCTCTCATCCTCTGTGTTCCTCAATGCACCTTTTCATGTTATTGGAAAATTTGAAATTCTTTTTATGATGATTCCAAAACCTGAAAGGTCATCTACCAAACAGTCGCGGCAAGCTTTCGGCATCTGATTTTTAACTCATATTGAGACTATGTTGTTTTTTATAGATGCCAGTTACATACTATAACCGCTAATCTTCAAAAGAGCGTCCTGGTCGATGTATACGATACTTGTTTTCTTGAGAAGCCACTATCGCATTTAAATTCTTCTATCTAGACCCCAGCTTTATTCTCTCTTTATATTAACACAATGAACTTCCCAACGATCTCTCAAGAGCTGAAACGTATTGGTATCATTCTGATTGCAGTGAAGCTCCTCGTTTATCATTCCGGAAGAGTTTTACTTGATAACATTACTTGGCAAGTATTGGAATTCCACAGCCTTGAATTATGTTGATGGGTAATAAATAATCCTCGTTTTAAAGTTATTCCTCGTCGAGTGTAATGAGGGAGAAACTATAGATACTGAAGGTGAGCAATCCCCTATGCTATGCGCCGAACCATATGTGGAAAGGAAATCCGATGACGGGAACGATGATGATGGTGACGGTGACAGCGTTTTTAGTCGAAAAAATACAGTCAGGAAATATAATTTCTGGACACAGGTGACATCGAGGCGGGCAGTTTACAAAAATCGGGAGAACTAGCAAGTGGTACGTCAATTTACCCTTCTCTATGGCCTGTACATATACGACTTTGACTCTACGTAGTCTTGACACAAGTACTTTTTTCTCCATTTACCGATTCAAACAAGTTTTGTAAACTTATAAAGTATTTAGCGCCAGATTACTCAGAAAAATAGCGATAAAGAGTTCAAGGTCAGATAGCTTATTGAACACGGGTGTTCCAAGAGGTGTCGTCCTTGGAGATCTATTCTTTGCACTTAAGGACTTATGATTAAACTACTAGTCGAATGAGTTATTTCGTTCCCCACGACAGGCCGTTGATGGCGAGGAGAGTACGCATGAAATTGCTAACAGACTTGTGTGGAAAGAACTCACTCCTGGCAATTCAAGGCCGAACGCTCCTGCCTGCTATCTCCGGTTTTCAGGGAGAATTAATTCGACCAGCAATCAATGGCATTTATAAAGATATTGAAACTCCTCAAACAGTGGCAGATCTCATTAGAGCAAAAGTTTTAAGACTTTTGTCAATAATGAATGCAAGGAAACGAATCGAATGCAGGAAGTGCTGGGATCAGCACCATGAATATGAAGACAGGTCGTTAAAAATTTAAAAACTTAAAAGACGAGTTCGATACACGTTCTTCTGTTCTGTTCGGTGATATTTGAATTTCCGTAAAACTCACTTCAATAGCAGTCGTTTGAGATCCTCAGAATAAGTGGTACGGATCAGTTCAGTCCCAAGAACACCACTTTTCCGTTCTGCAGCGCCTCGTACTGGTTCTTCGATAAAAACAATTATCATAACAAGGCACAGAACACCTAAAACTGGCAAGGTTCAACCAAAGAAGACATAAACAAAGTAGCGAAGATAAAAAAGAGAAGTAAGAAGAGAAGATAGCGAACGCTATGAGAAAGATCTCATTCATGTTTCTCGTTAAGAAGAACGACATAAAATTTAAAAAAGAAGATAGCAAAAGAAGGACCTTAAAATGTAAATAAAAACAGCTTTATCAAGTTTCTAAATGTTCTTCGTCTCCTTCTTACCGACAAAATGATATTATGATCTTAAATCAGGTGGTACAGCTTCCAAAGTGTATGGCGCAGTGATTAGAGAAGCTCCGCTATATGCACTTCATCGTTAGTTCGAGCCCGCTCGCCGAGACTACCAAACCCTTTTTCCTCTCCGTGGTCAGATCAGCAAAGTGGAACCGGACTTGTATGGGGTGATAGAAAGTGCTCATTGGATAAAAGATGCACTCAGTAACCTCTATGAATGGTTCCGAAGGCGTGCCAACGAAATACCGAGATGATTGATCGATGCTCAGTATTTTAACATCCATAGTTTCATAAGGGCACGTGTGGCGCAGTGGTTGGAGGAGCTGCTGCGACACACACGTGGAATTGATACATTCTCAAAAAGTGGGTGTCCTAGGTATCTCATTTTCATTAATATCTTATGTACCTCATAAACACACACATAGGATCGATCCGCTTACCCGTGGCTCGCCAAGCCTTCCATCCCTCCGGGGTCGGCAAATTGGTACCAGATTTGTCTGAGGCGATAGAACTGGTTCGATACATTGCTAACCCACAGCGAGTCATTGAAAAGGCCAGATATGCATTCAGTTACCTCTAACAATACTTAATGAAGTCGCATGCATGGCTTACCCCTCAGGAATTGATCAACGCGGAGCGCTTTTATCCTTGTACTTTTCACAATATCCATTCCAAAGCACGACTGCTTCAAACAGCATCCGTACTGATGAGGAAGTTAAGGTTAAGATTTGAAAAAGCAAAAATTTGAATCAAAAGCTCACTCGCGGTGTTTTCAACTTCGAACTTCTCCTCAAACTATGAACCTACCTGCAGGACTCATGGTACAACAATGTAAAACTAATGGCTAAAAAAAATTATAGTAACAGACCTAATATTGCTGTTATTCGGACACCCCAGCGCCAATCACCAGTAACTGCTGCAACTGTTGAGCCGACCATGAATCCACAACCACTGAAAAACCACGGGATGAAAATGATATGGAGAATAAAGGCACGTTAAGGAGCATTTCCATGGATATTTTACCTACCGTAACCCAGTACTTAATTGCCACACATTATAACCACAATGGAACCCACAAACGCTTCAAATATCTACCGCATGCAAGGCATACTGTGTTTGACATTTATCGTCTTAAAAGAGCATTAAACACAGTCTTAAAAGCTTTTTTTCTCAATTCCTTATCTATTGTATTATTCCATCAGCACATGAAAGTTTGTCATTATGAAGAGCACAGATGTCTCAAGCACTTTTAAAGGAATTCTAGGATTTTTTCAGTTCCATATGAATTTTATTAGAAAAGAGCAATTCACCACTTTAGATACGTTCAGAAATACCATCAGCAACCGAAAATTCTTATTTCCAAGAAAACGCATTGTGTGGGCCAAATGATATGTATGGAGCCTAGTAGGCTTCGCTTAGAGATGGCTACAACAAGGTTATTTTACTTTTTCTTCTTCCTTTTCTTCCTCGTGGAGGAAATGCATTGATTCGTACGAATTTGCTAGAATAGACACTATTCACTATTCGGTAAGATGAAAGCTTCAACGTCAATGAGGAATCATTTGAGCCAATTCGGGTCTCCTTTTTGAGGGAACTAAGAGTTTATCTTTAAAAAGAAAAGAATCCCCACGCCTTGTAGATGACACTTGCGCGCTTTGTTTTTCAATTCCATTGATGTATAACATAATTGACGACCAATGTGTTGTTTTCCAAACTAGCAAATAGTAGTTTATCAAACAGTATAACAGATCTGCAATGATACGTCATCTGCAATGAGTGAAGAGTGGACAACATGAATAATAAACGATTCTATTCCTCACGGCTGCTTAAATTATGCCTCACAGTTCTTTTATTGTTGATATTGTACCTGGTGTCGTCCGTGAAAGGCTATTCTCTACCCTAAATAAGGGATAAACGGCTGCATTTCGGGCACGTTTATTTGTCTGAATGAGATTGCTGATCGTCACAAAGAGATTACAGCTGCCGAAGAGAGGGTTAAGATAGTAGAGTTCGACATTTCAGGATATGTTCTCGTCACGATAAGATGGTAGACTTTTCACAACTCTTAGAACACATTTAATTCTACGGTAGATTGATATTCAGCACTATCAAAACTTTCGCATGTATCATAAAAGGGTAGATGTTTACAAAGTGCGTGTTCATCGACCTGATCCAGTAAAGTATGTTTTGTTTCTCGACAACTGTAGATCCGCCCATTCCCAATTGTTGCTCCCACAACCACCCAATGATAGTGTACCCTCAAATATGATTTTGAAGAGGATCCATGCTCGTCTAGATTCTGGAAAAACATTCCTTAGTCCAGATGATTCCTCCTGATATGTAAACCATTTGCAAAATTTATTAAAAGATAAACATCGGTGCACAACTTGCCATGCCTATTATAAGGCATTACTGGTCAAAAGGAGAGGAGTTAACAAATGTTGATCAACCATGAGTCATGGTGTCATGTGAGATATTTATCTGGAGACAAAGACGAACGAATCTTTTCATCTCTCTCACGACTTTTTCTTTTTCTTTTCCGTATGTGCTCGTCTTGCTTGCAGTCAGATCGCAAATACCAGTGATAAGTATTTTGCAAAAATTCACAAGTTCGCTTAAATAAAACATGATCCGTTGTTCCATCACGGACCTATTCCTTAGCGACCATCTCGTGTTTATGAGATGCAACAACGTTCGACCATTCGCCCTTGTCCTCATTTTGATCACATTTGTACTTTCCTTCCGATTGGTCTCCCTTGGACTCTACGGGTGATGTCAAACGAAATTCATTACTTTTTCGTGTCTTCAATATTTTCAGCTTCAGTCTCGATGATGAAGATGAATTTCCCTACGAGTTTCCTTTTCGTTGCCATCAGTACGACGGGTCACAGCTAACTATGCAATCGAGAGACATTACGAATGTATGAAGCAACGAAATATGCTCAATAAATATTGCTGAACCGAACACCAAGCGGCCGCAACATCATAATTGGATAATGGACCCATTTTTTTCATGGTACACAAGATTTCACTAGGTTCAAAAAACGAACACAGGAGATATGTAGAATATAAAAATCCATGAATGCCAAAAGAGTGCACAAAACAACAGAATTGTATAATGAAGAACCCAGAAAGCACGCTGTTCTTTTTGGGGTGGGGCAAAGTGGACGATACGACTCACATTTGATTCGCACTGTGCGAGCTGAAACATTAAGCATGGCATTTGAAATGTGCTAATTTTAGGTAATGCGCTAGGCTACTTCACTTTCTTTACAATATGGAAGTATCGGAACTTCTTTTCGGTTATGGTGTCAAATATTTCGTAGACTTGCGGCAAATCGATATATTGAACGTTCCTCTTCCGAAGACATCAAATGCCACCAAAATACCTAGATAGGACACTAAATGGCGAGATTCTCTTACCTTCCACAAGGGATCGCAAAGTAGAACAACATGAGCATTCGACCTCGATTCGCGCCAGTAAACATGTCAGCAATGATCGACGGTGAAATCACAGCATACGATGCTTCTCCAATTCCGACCATTCCACGAAACAACATAAACATCCAGAACATCTTGAACATATGCGTAACGATAACCAAAAAGTAAAAGCAGTAAACAAAAATAGTAATATTAAAAATCCGATGGAAAAGTGTTGAAGAACGATGAACGAACATTAGCTGGAACAAAAGTCGATGCTAACACAGCCAGTACCCACACCGCTATTCCAACTGCCATAATCCGTTTCCGAACATATCTAAAGTGACGTCATCAGACTGACTGTGTAGTACTTATGTAAATTAAAGTGTACTGCATACCTATCACCTAAAAATCCACAAATTGGTGAAGCAACCATAAAAAATGTCATAAACACTGTTTGTAATAAGCCAGCATAGGCGTCATCGATATGGTAGTAACTTTGAACATTTGTTAATACTCCTAAAAACTTTTTTACTTAAAATTTATTCAAAAAATAACAAACTGAAAGACAAAAACATTTTGCCTGCAATGTTAACTTTTTATTAGCTGCCTATGTCTTGCGTACAGTTTTTTTTTGATTTCTATAGTATGATTTACACAGTATGCATCAGAATACGTATTGATTTCTTCGTAAAAAGAGAACAAAGAAAGATTTTAATTTTCTTCGCGCCTAGGGTTATTTTCGAAATTTACAGTATAATAATAATAGTGTACTAGTAACGTGACTGACCTGCTACTGTATACCTATCCATATAATTGAGAAGATTTATAATAAATAATATAGCAATATTGAAGTAAGACTTGGTACTCTAAACAAAATTGATTAGTAACAGCAAGCAAAAAAAACTAAGAGAGGAAATCTTAGAAAATCAGGGAGAAACACTAACAAGCTTTTACAACGAAACGGTACACCGATATCGATCGAATATACGAAATCCACCTTTATGCTCTCCTTTTGGCAAAATTTGAATGAAAAAATGGTACTGTGAACTGGAGAAAGCATAGTTAACATCATATCGTTTCCCATTGCAGATCTACGACACCCGCAGATTTCATTCATTTAAGAAAAAAAATATATTAAGCAAATTTGCTTCTGAGAATTCCATCCATAAAAAGGGAACCATTGGCTTGGGCTTTGTCCACTGCGGATACGGTACTGAGAAATTTGTGAGGCAAAAACATGGTCAAGACGGAAAAATCGTTACAATAATTATTTATCGACTAGAGAACAAAAAGACGCGCGTGGCGCAGCGGTTGAAGGATCCCTGTAACACACACGTGGAACTGATCATCGCGCTCATGGCCCACCAAGACTTCCGTCCCTCCGGGGTCGGTAAATTGGTACTAGACTTGCCCGGAAGGACAGCATCATTAGCTCGATATCTCCAAACGATGCTTAATGAAGTCGAATGCACAGCGCATCCCTCACGGATTAATCAATGCCGAAAGCTTTATCCTTTGATGGAACAAAAAAAAAATAGACACAGATAGAGTAAGGAAATATCTTAATACGAGTGAATTACCGGATCCTTGCTAAGAGATGATTTTTCAGAGCGGATAAGACCATACCTTAAACTCGGATGATGATTTTTGTTTATGAAATGGTGACATTCCCGAACAATCGAAATCTTCATATTTCCGTCGTTCGCTCATAGGTAGATTTTATCTTTAAAAAACAATGTCGGTATCAGTTTTAATGACAAAAATGGGTTAAACGCAGAAAAATTTAGACCAGAACACTGATGGGCTAAAAGAAGATGCAATAAAGAGACAAATATGGAAGAAATTTATTTCAAACGGATACGAACATTTAGGTAGAGAGGAAGAATCAAAAGATAAATACGGATGATTGTCCTTCGTGAATAAAAATGTATAGCGAATAGGATGGAAATCTTGAATCTGTACTGAATAAAGCTGGTCGCCATCAACACATTATTTACATTGCATAATTCAGGCTCACTGCTGTTATAGAAGAGATTTACTACTACGTCTAGTAAAATGATTTCGGAGTGCGGTGATAATGCGGTTCTTTTTGCCAAATGACAGGGAAAGAGGACATCATGAAAGGAACTCCTCATGCCAACTCATGCGAACTCTTAGGAAAAGCATGCAGTTAAGTTGATTTTTTTTTTGCTCTGCTATGTATTCGAAGCTTTCTAGGCACCCCGAAGTTTTTAGTTCTATTTCGCACCAAGGAATGCGTATAGATAAGTGGTTGGAAGTGCACAGTAGGACACGAGGTCCTCGGTTCGACCCTACATAATGGGTCAACTAAGCCCATCATCATTCTGTGATTGGAAGATTGGCACTAAAGTTATCCGGACGAACCAAATTACTGACCTGCTGCATTGACAGAATCCTGATATCATTTTTGGACCAAATGTACATTGTACATGATAAATTCGATCTCTTCTGTTATGCTTACTGAAATACGGTGCAACGAATCCCGTAAGGATTGACGAAAGAAGAAAGCTCTGTACTTCAGTCATTTTGTTCCAGAACGATTTAAATGGAAGTATAAACTTGTAAACAATTCTAGGCAAGTTTTCAATCCAGCGACAAACATGCCTCAAAGTCTCATCTGAAATTCTTTACTGAAACGGTTCAATCGGTCCATATGCACTGTTCGTGGTGAATGGATCCCGATTGACGCCTCAAAGCAGTTATTATCAGCATACTTAGCGGCGGTTGAAGAAAAGTTTGAACTGCAACACCCTTTTGACTCGTAAAACTGGTTTTCCATCGCAGTGGATGAAGCAGTGGTGTTTTCTCGACCAAACATCAAAGTTCAGGGTGCGACCTATGACTGATATCGATGCTGCCCTAGTTCTTCAATGTTCAGATTGCATTATCTCCCATGTCAGTTATTATTAGTGGGTATCCTCAGTGCTTTCAACGCTTCAGAGGAATCGAGTACAACACTTCACTTCTTCGTGGATCCAACCAATCGGCATAATGCAATGGATAAAGATTTACGTTAAAAATTATTGCTATCGCGTAAATCACTTTCGTACGCTCGAAACTTTACACAGTAACTTGGAGCACTTTTCATAAATGCCTACTGTAATCCTTGTAAGGCTGCATAGAAGGAGTTTAGGGTAACGCTGTTGTTTTTGTTCCCATAATCCATTGTTCGGGCTCACATCGAGCCAACAAAGCTTCCTATGCTTTCAGGAGCGGCAAATTTGAACCAAACATTTTGGGAAGGAGCTCCATAGTTTGGGAGACTTGCAGTGGTAATAAAATGGGAACATTCTAGTAGGGCTGTCACAGGAATCCAGAGAGAATCAAGTCAGCAAGCATTTAACATTTTTATTAAAGAGGACAAAATTCGCAACTAGAAACGAAACTTATAGGCAAACAATCTGAAAGTTTTCATAAATAGCAGATGTTAGATATCGAACCCAAGTGAGGGAACTACTTCGATCCCTACGATATTTGAAATCGAGTCATACAAATGTAATAAATAAAATGAAAAGAAGGACACCTATGTGCTGTAACACCTTGTTCTCACATGTTGCGATGACTGCAGTGCATCCTTTAGTTTCGTTGCCTTTCATTCCTCATCCATAAAGGATTCCTATGTAGACTCTACTTTTGCTTGAGAATTTTTCAACTCTCCACAATGGTACATTAAACGGTAGTCGAGCATGACTTTCATTGGTATCCCATGCAAGTCCCTGGGAATCGGATGATGGCTTTGTTCTCTGAATCTAGGATTCTCCCAGGATGGCTCTATAATAAAGTCAACCGAGCCATGAGAAGAAGGGGATGGGCAAGAGCTTCAACAAATCTTTTGTAATAGTTTAATTATAAACTTCTGATTCGGACTTAAAATAAGACCGGACAAAGACACGAATTTGCCGACTTAGCCTCGGATTTACAAAACCCGAAGAAAACAAACTCTGGAGCCACAGCGTAAAAGTTTTATTGTTCTGAAAAGTTCCTGCGGAAAAAACTTTGTTTCATCGCCAAGTGACTTATGCATTCGTTTGAAAAAAACTTTTCGTGTAAAACGTTAAGTCAAGTGAACTAACGAATATCAAAACTGCAAGCTCAACCCAGAAAAGGCAAGAATCGAAGCGAGGAAATTGAAAGTTAGAAGAGAAAGCAAAAAATTAACGATTAGTACTATCTAATAACTGCAGCTCAAGCCATTCGTCAAATAGGATTTTTGATAGTGGTGGAAGAACTTGGCAATCTCGGCATATATGTTCACTCCGCAAGAAAGTGCATGTATAATTTGAAGTGTTCACCAAGCGGAAGTTAACGTAGTCATATGTAATGATGACAAATCACCATTCATTTTTAAATATAAGGAGAAAGAAATGTGCACTTTCAACTCGATGAAATCGAAACAGTGACAAACATTCTGCTCAATGAATAGAAAGGAGAACTTAAATGTAGTACGGAATATCATCATCACTACTGGAAAACGAGAGCTCACATTGCAGCGTATTCTTACTGGAAATCCTCCAATTCTATGTGAAGCATATAGGAGGTTTGATTCACTTGAAAACGAAGAAGAAATGAGATATGGCCGAATTTATGACGAATCCTAGAACAACGACCGACATAGAGCTATGTTACTAGCGAATTGGCAGTGGCGGAATCTATCAGTGCAGGAAACTTTGATGATACGATCATTCAGTTATATTATAAATCGATTAAAGCGCATATACCATCGGAAACGGGTTCTCTAAGTGCCGAAAACAAAAGCCGTTCACGGCCAATGATCTGACCCAATCGTCCGAGACGAGATGATTTCATTCGAAGAGAACCTTACATGTAGTGCTGATCCGTACGATTTACAATATCATTTGAAGAAATGGTTCATTTCCTCTTTTGTTGTCCGTTTAATTTCCTTTTTTATCCTAAGCAGATGAATATGATATGACTAGGCGGAAATCACGTGTGACGGGTGCGCACTCACGCTTTCTACTCATTCCTAAATGGTTCTTCAAAAGCGCTCTATTATTGTCATATGCCCGTTAGAAGTTGGAAAAAAGGCTAAAAGCTTTTTTAACAGGCAAAACGTCAGCTTCTTTCCTCTGTTTTACCTCCGCTAAATCCATAGTACTTACTTCATCTGCGCTATACTCTGGATTCGAGGATATTACCCATATAATGGATTGTATCCCAAATGGTCGATGCACAAAGCCGTGGCTGGTTAATGGGTACCAGTTTTTGGACGCTGGTACAATGAAACGTAGATAAACCGTGTTTACATGCCTCGCCGATTCTCTACCGTTCATCTCATCTACCAACTGTCATCCATTGTGATTGCTCTCTTGTATTTTCTCACTGGCCTGCTCAGTGTTGACCGAGCGTGGTTTTCTAAAGGAGAAAAGATATCTTTGCTAAGGGTTAAAATGTGCTTCCTCAACATATTATTTAGAACGATATCGATTTTTGAACTGGTCCTGACCCTATGATTATTCTCCGCCCGAAGACCATGTAACATACCGGTTCTTACTACTACATGCGACTTGGGAAAAGCCGTGTCAATTTGTTAATTAAAACTAGTGATAGAATAGTCAAATGTTCGGGTATTCTTTTACTGTAATGTAGAACAGTGATGATGCTCTTCTTTTAGTAGGATCTTCTGTTTTCATTCCTTTGCAAAGTTTCCACAGTTCGGTCGTAGCCTGTTATTTCTCGCCGGGTAGTGCAGTTTCACATAAACATTATTTCGACCGTTCCAGTGTCATCTTCTAATGACTTTTAATGTTTCCACCATATTTGTATTTCTGCAAAAATTTCGGGGTATGATGATCTTATTCGTTGCTGATTTCCTCGATAACGAGAC